AATCATTTCATACAACAATTAATGAGATGACATTTCTAGATAAAGACGATTTTTTTCAAAATAGAATAATTATTTACCTCAGTAGTGCCATAAACAATCGGATGCCTTTTATACGTATAATTATCTGTATCTGTATCAGTACTGTCTAACACGGAAATGAATACAATCTCTCTTTTGGAGAATGTGTCCAACTTTTTTCATAAAACAGAATGGACCAAACAGATACAAATGTCACATTGGAGGAAGGGAAAGGTCATACTTGTTCAAAACACCCATCCCGATTCGAATATAGAGCACTGAACTGACATCATCAATAAGCATTTATTTTTATGTTAATGTCGTTAACAAAAAATATTAGCAACCTTAACATATTTGTTGCGATTGGAGGACGCCTTCTTTATTAAACAATCTGTATTCATAGCAATCAACTACATCCCGCTGCTTGCCGACCTTCTTTTTTTTTTTGTGTTACGCAGACTTCATACCAGAGCTTCATAAAAAAATATAATTTTACTTAAACTCATGAAAAATATCTTCTCCAATTGAATAACACAATTATTGTTGAATACATTTATTAAAATCGCTATACTGCTCAAAGCGCATGTGTTCCCTTGCAGAGGTTAATCCAGAAAAGCGCTTCGTGCAAATAAAATTTATTGTATGTCCTTTTCATTTTCGTGCTGACATTATGTGACACATGTTCTGCAGCATTAAATTATACCCAGAAACATTTGTTGTGTCAGATTGATTAACAGTTATTGTCTATTTGATTTTTGGGCTTGCGTGCCATAATATCGTCGTTGGGCTTCCAAAATGTAGTCAAATACTAATTTTTCAACAACAAAAAAATCTCACAAACAGGCTTTGAAAATTTGGTTGAAATGTCTGCTTCCAAAATGTCGTATGTGAACTTGAATGTTTTTGTAAATGGCTGTTAGATAAAAACTTGGACATTTCTTGTTAACACAAAAACTAAATTTATTTTCACAGAGATTCCAAAAGCCATTACTGTGGATTCATTTATTTTCTTGGGTACCAATTTTCGTGGATTAATGAAAACTTACATATTCGTGGATTTTTAATTTCGTGGTTTTACCGAAGTTTGCATACAAGCTTATAGAAAATCTGTTATTCGTTGAACATTTGATTTCGTGGTTTACCTGTATTCACGAAATTCACGAATATTGGTATCCAACGAATAATAATGAATCCACAGTATACAACAATATTCAAGTTTACATAGACCAGAATCTTTGTCAAACGAGACGATTTTTATTTTGAAATTATCAATCCTCCTTTTAGCAGCAGTATGCCAACTTCACCAGCATATTATATATACTTTTCCCAACTCATTCGGTATTCAAGAGCTTGCAGCTGCTACTCAGACTTTATGAACCGTCACCAGTGTCTGAGCAGAAAGTTGATGAACAAGGCTTGTTTCAAAGAACGTCTTCGTCCTTTTTCTATAAAAGTTCATCGGAAGATACCAAGACCTTGTTGATAAATATTCCGTATCATCTTCACAAATAATACATGATGGTCTTGAAGTATAGATTCTAGGTACTGGCGTTGTTTATAATCTTAATTACGTGTTATAGCGTTCTTTTATTTGTCTTTGTATATTATAAACCTTTACTGTTTAGTCGTATTTTTGGTCATATCCTTTTGGCGTGGCTCGGTATGTATATGTTGTGTACAAGTTATCATTTTGTACAAATTATAATTTGTATTTTGACTTTGTATAAAAAGTGCTTGTACAAATTACAATTTGTACAAAATTTTACTAAAATTCACTTATAACTTTTACAATAATGTATAGTATGGATTTTGTTATAAAAAAAAGCATTGATACACACTATAGAGTTTTTATTCAATGACCACACAATAAACCTTATTAACAAAATACAATAACAGTTCTGTATTATTGTTTTGAGCACGTATGTGAATTATGGCATCGGGAATAGCGTTTACATGAGAGAAACCTCTGAACACCAGTTTTGAAAGCTTTTTAACTGCTTCGCGTAGCGAAAGTTGAAGCTCGGGAACCGTTGCTGCGAATAAGGATGTGTCTTTAACAGCTTCAATTTGATTTCTCGACAAACATCCTGTTAAAATTCGTACAGCTGTTCCAATGCGTTACCCAAATTCTCCAGATTTAATAATTACACCTAAGATATTTCGAGGATCAGGTGGGGCACGATCATACTGAGGAATTAGTATACATGTAATAACATTATCCCCATAGCAAAGTTCTGATAATTTCCGTTACGTTTTCTTGGTTAGATATTCGGCTTGGATCTGTTGGTCAGACAACACACGCTTCCTGGCACGTATGTTTGGTGTTTCAACGTCAGAGTCATTCTGATTGTCACTCGGGCCAATTTCTATTATACAATCAGAACTGCCACAGGGGATATTTTCTATTATACTATCAGAATTGTCATTGGGGCCAATTTTTATTATTCTATCAGAATTGTCACTTGGGCCATTTTCTATTGTACTATCAGAATTAACTGGCATGCATGTATCAATTACATTTCCTGTCTCCATCTTGGTATTTTTGTATTTTGTAAATAAGGTATATTGTGTGGTCATTGAATAAAAACTCTATAGTGTGTATCAATGCTTTTTTTATAACAAAATCCATACTATAAATTATTGTACAAGTTATAAGTGAATTTAAGTCAAATTTTGTACAAATTGTAATTTGTTCAAGAACTTTTTGTACAAATTACAAATTGTACAAAGTTAAAATACAAATTATAATCTGTTCATTTTTTTTTTGTTCAAATTATAATTTGTACTAAATGATAACTTGTACACAACATATACATCCTGCCATTGTATTATTGTGCTATGGTCATTTTTTGTAATTATTGTCTTTTATTTTTGCTTATGTACTTTGTCTATAGAGTGTATTTATAACATTTGGTTTTTCATTGTTGAAATAGTTATTTGTTTTATAGTGATTAAGATTATAACACAATATTGACTGCTGTACCCCAATTTTTAATATTTTTACCTTTAATGTCTGTTTGTCTTGCACACACATTGTTGTCAATATAATGGAATTCTATGCGACTGTCATTCAAGTGAGAGGTTTAGCTAGCTTTAAAACCAGGTTTAATCCACCATTTTCTACATAAGGAAATGGCTTTACCAAGTCAGGAATATGACAATTGGTTTTAATTCGTTTGATGTGCTACATGTAGAACTATTCATTTTGCCATTTGATTAGGGAATTTCCGTTTAGAACTTTCCTCGGAGTTCGGTATTTTTGATATTTTACTTTCTGATATCTTGACTTACATTTAGAAATTTGTCAGTTGAAAACTTTATTTTACGACAAAAAATATGTAACATTTCATATTCTACAAAGTTTTTGTTTAGAATACGTATTAAATTATCACTTGATTGGCTTTTATTGATAATAACAATTACAATATCTTTGAAAACACACAATAATAAAGATTTAAAACTTAAATCTATATTTGAATAATACGCAATAATACAAAAACCCAAAAAATATTGATATGCTTCGCATTCCAATACAAATCCATAAAATAACTGAGTTGGTGTTAAGAGGTCTATCCATTCACTGTCTAGACATTGTTATCAAGAGCCCTTTTTTCTTGAATCAGACTGACTAACCTTTTATTATCTGTTTTGATCATTCCCTATCGAGTGAAAATAATACATGAATTGATCATTTTGTGTCATTCATTTACAAATCACACACACTTGCATCTCTTTTGGAGAATATGTATGACACCGTTTAATCATTTCATACAAGAATCAATGAGATGATATTTCTAGCTAAAAACGAGTTATATCAAAATAGAATAATTATTTACCTAAGTAGTGGCATTAACTTCTTATAATAATAAATATCTGTATCTGTACTACCTAACTAGGAAATGGATAAAATCTCTTTGTTGGAGAATTTGTCCAACTTGTTTTCTTAAAAAAAAAGAATGAATCAACCAGATACAAATGTCATATTGGAGGAAGAAACAGGTCATACTTGTTCAAAACACCCATTCCGATTCGAACAAAAAGCACTGAACTAACATCAGCAATAGGCTTATTTGTTTTATGTTATTGCGAATGGAGAATACTTTTCTTTTATCAGACAACGGGTATTCATAGAAACCAACCGTGTCCCTGTGCTTGCCTAACTGGTTTACTTTCGTATTAGGCAGACTTCTTACCGGAGCTTCTTACGAAAAACGTCATATTACTTAATCTCATGAAAAATATCTTCTTCAAGTTGATTAATATACTAGTAATTATTTTTGAATGCATTTATTAAAGTCGTTACACTACCCAAGGCGATTGTGTTTCCGACACAGGTTAATCCAGAAAAGCGTTTCGCACTATTTATTGAAATCATTTTGATTTTCGTGTTTACCAATTTTAATTCCTAAAGTTCCTACTACATCTGTCTATAGCGGAACATCGGATATAATTTCGGAAAGAAAAGAACAGGGTGTTCTTTTATGTTTCAACACACTGATTAGACAATAAAACATTCTATTTGAAAATTACAAACAGAATTTGATTACACCAATGTAACATGAGTAACAAATGTATATGATTGACTATCAAAATTGAGAAAACGATTAGCTGATGTTTATGAATTAAATTCTCAGATATTTATTTCAAAAATCTAGTTATAATATCAGTACTTCTATACAGATATAGAACATTTTTAATATACATTATTTTCGATTATATTACTAGACCCTACAAAACGTCAAAGTCGGGAATTAAAACTTAATAAAAAATATTCATAATATCTGTTGAAATTCATTTACAAAACTATCATTCAACAGATATTACATGGGCAGATAACCTGAAAACGCAATTAAAGATATAATTGATACTTTGCAAACTGCAACAAAACATCACAGATAATTTGTTACATTAATTGTCATTATAAACTAATAAGCTAACTAACTTCCACCACCCCCCTGGAAAAGTTTACTGGTGTTACTTACCCAAACCGTTTTCTTAAACTCTTCATAATTTCCAGTCTCGGTATAAACAAAACTTTATAATTTACAATAAATTTCTTTGGGATTTCCTATTTAACTAAACAGAGACTATCAAGGTAGTCTAAAGGTTTTTCGATATAATTTGAACTTTAACTATATCGTGTACATATATTTTAATAGATGGCATAAGAAAGGGTTTTAAATAAAACATATGTCTTTAAAAATATATCCAAATTGCCGGGCTTATAATTTCACGTTCCACAAAGTTTTTTGTTTAGTAAACGTATTTTATTACTACTTGATTGTCTTTTAGTGATAATAACAAGTACAATTACCTGGAAAACACAAATTAAGAAAGATTTAAAAAAAGAAGAAAGACAATTCCAGTCTGCGATTTTGTCTTAAATTTATATTTGACTAGTACGCAATAATACAAAAACCCACAAAATATTAATAGCCTATGCATTTCAATGCAAATATACGAAATAACTGAGGTGAGGTGAAGTGTCTATCCATTCACTGCCTGAACATTATTATCCAGAAACCTTTTTTTTTTTATTAGACTGACTTACCTTTCATTATCTGTGTTATGACCATTCATCATCGAGTGAAAATAATACTTGACTTGTTCACTTTGGGCCATGCATTTACAGATTAAATGCACATGCATATTTTTAAGAGAATATGTATGACACCATTTAATCATTTCATACAAGAATCAATGCAATGAAATTTATAGCCAAAAACGAGTTAAATCAAAATAGAATGGTTATTTTCATAATTAGCGCCATTTACAATCGGATGCCTTTTTACTTTAAAAAAAATACATCTGTATCTATACTATCTAACTGAAATTGGTGAAATCTCTTTTTTGGAGAATTTGTCCAACGTTTTCATATTACAGAATGGACCAACCATATACAAATGTCATATTGGAGGACGGGACTGGTCATACTTATTCAAAACACCCGCTCTGATTCGAAAAAAAAGCACTGAACTGAGATCATCAATAAGCTTATGTTTTTTTTTTATTTTAGTGTTGTTAATAAAAAAATAATTTGTTGCGATTGGAGGACTTTTTTTTATCAGGCAACTGGTATTCATAGAAACCAACTGTGTCTCTCTGCTTGTCGACCTATTTTTGTTATTCGTATTAGGCAGACAAAGTGCATGTGTTTCCCCACAAAGGTTCATCCATGAACGCCTTATTAAATAAGTTGAAGAGCAGGAAAAACAAACAATTCAGAAAAACTACACCAAATATGGCTACGGCAATCTTTGCCTGGGAATTAAAATCGTTGTGCTTCGAATAATTCATCATTTTATAACCTGTACATTTACAGAAAATGAACAATTAACAGGTGCAAATAATCATTTATACAAATAACAACTTCCAAAGCATTTTATGCATTTCAATGCAAGTGCTTGAAACAACTGAATTGAGGTGAAGTGGCCTGTCCATACACTGACTTGCCATAATGTGACACAACTTTTGCAGCATTAAATGTTACCCAAAAATATTTGTTGTGTCAGACTAAATAACCCTAATTATTATACTTCATGTCAAAATGCGGATTCCATTTGGTTAATACGAAGTAGATAATTTACTCTAAACCATGGCAAAAACTCCTTTACCCTTCACGGAGACTCTTGATCATTTGTGCGCTTTACTAAATAGGGATGGTTGTTATGTACAAGAGGTCATTGTTTATTACTTTGAATTGGAAATTTACTGTGACTTGACTGTAAGTGTTGCTCTCCACCTATTGCAACTTATTCAAAATTCTGACCAAATTGCAATCTGTTTTATAAAACCAAACTGTTCAACTGGTCAGAAATTTGAACAAACTGCTATAGAAAACCACAGTCAAGTCGTGAAAGTACAAAGTGATAAATCAAAGCATACTTACAATCCTATAATACTTTAATTCCACTTTGATGTAATTATGAAAAATCAGTCTAACAGTTTGTATAGAAATTTTATTGTTATTAATATTTCGTTATAAGCAGTCAGTCAAATTCAAATTTGTCAAAATAAGCTAACAATTATCGTTATAGATGTATTATTTACCTACAAGTGAATAATTTGACCTCAGTTAAAGTCATATTCGTGTGACTTTCAATTTAACCCATAAGTAGGACATGGATTACGCATGTACAAGGCGTGTTCAGCTATTTGAAGGAAAAGAAGGTCAACATTAAAGTGAAACAAGGGTGAACCATTTCGTTGACGGATACGATCTACAAAAAAATATTTTTTATATTTATATTTATGTTGATATCGGGTTATTTATCCCTCGGTAGTCTTCGGAGGTCATCTCGATGGTTGATTAGATGGCGTCTACACTTAGATACACCCGAATTATTGAAACTTATTATCGAGTCCATGCATTGTAAATTGTTTATTTTAAATTTTTTGTAATTTGGATATACGTTTTAGTATGTTAAATCTCTTTTTGTTTTGGAGAATTTGTCAATTTTTTTTTCCATAAAACAGAATGGACAAACCAGATACAAATCTCATGTTCGAGGAAGGGAAAAGTCATACTTGTTCAAAACACCCGCTCTTGATTCGAACAAAAATCACTGAACTGATATCAACTATAAGGTTTTATTTTTTATGTTAACGTTGTTAATAAAAACATATCAGCAACGTTAAAATATTGGAGGACGCGTGTTTTTTGTTTTTATCAGAAAACCAGTATACATAGAAACCGACCGTGTCCCTCTGCTTATCGACCTGTTCCTTATTCGTAATAGGCAAACTTCACACCGGAGCTTCTTAAAAAAAACTTAAAGAAGTTGGCACTTTTCGCTGTTTAGATGATGTTTTACAGAATAATTCAGAGTTGGTGACTATGTTGACTGCATATATCCTAATAACTTAAAGTGAAGGATATGACATATACTGTAAAGTATATCTCATATCTTGACTTACGTCTAGAAATTAACAGTGAGAGTTGTTTGACAACTAAACTTATGGATAAAAAAGATGATTGTTAAATAAGTTAGTAACACTTCTGATACCACAAAGTCTTTAGTTTTGATATACGTATCTAATTACCACTTGATTGAACACTCAATGATCATGACAAGTACAAAAACTTAAATAACACAAAGTAATGATGATTTATCAATAGAAAAAGATTTATGCGATCTTTGGTTTTATCTTAAACTTTATATTTGACCAGTACGCAATAATACCAAACACGTTTTATATTTCGATATTCATACAGCTGTATTTATATTGCAATGATGTTCCAACAGCACATTTGTGATGGCCATGTATTGTTTTTATTTTTTTGTGAAATTAATTTGTTTGACTTAAGAATGATATAGTAGACATCATTTTATCTTAAACTTTATATTTGACCAGTACGCAATAATACCAAACCCACACACATTTTATATATTTCGATATTCAGCGGCTGTATTTATATTGCAATGAGGTTCCAACAGCACATTTTTGATGGCCATGTATTGTTTTTATTTTTTTGTGAAATAAATTTGTTTGATTTAAGAAGGATATACTAGACATCATTTTATGATATTAGCAAATGAAGGCCTCATAATAATCGGCATATATCTTCCTGTTGAATTGAGAAAAAGCAACATTAATACTAAGTGGCGATATGTGTGTTGATATTTATCTTCTGATTCAAAGAATTTAGTTTTCCTCAATAATTTGTATTTGTACATGTTTAAATGGCCACAAATGATGTATCCATACAGCAATATCAAATGATTATAGTCACCTTTGAATTCATGTTCAAAATGAAGAGGTATTTCTACAGCTGGACGGACAAGAATAGGTATTGTGAAAAGAGAAATTTTCCAATAAAAGAGTCGACCTCTAAAGCAGGTTTCAGTTGATATTTACTTTCTTCTACAAATAGTATTTACATTTACAAATTAAGTTGTAAAGTATTCTATTTCGTAACAAGCTAATGTATAAAATTTTAAGTTTAGTCCAATTGAGAAGACTTTTCTTCCAAAACATTTTAAAATATACAGATATTTTGTTCGATATTATCTATGATGCATGCATAGCAGGAGATGTTTATCTTTTCAACGCACCCAGTCTTGTTGCTTTTGGAGCATGCAGTTCCCTCGATTTTTGTTTATTATCTTGATACTTCCTACAGAAATTAGCTCAAATAAGAAAAATAAAAAAACGAATTCAGGAAAACATATTTTCTTTTTTTTTAAAAAGCGGAGTCGACCTTTGGTAAGAGTTTTCACATAACCAGAAAACGTTTTCAAAATTTCTGTATATATATAATTCTTCGAGTATAATACTAGAATGTTAGGAAGGAAAGTGAGAAGTTTCTTAATGTCGTTTACAGATGTCAAATATAAGCACCAACTTTTCAGATGGAAACAATATGGTAAACAGTTGAGATAATTTTGAAAGACATGTGCAAATGTCGTAACTATTTCCATCCTTTTGAAGGTATTTATGTATTCCTGAAATAATGAATTTATTATACACGTCAAAAATTAGTGTACTGACAACAAAATAAATGTCGAAGTATAAAACTAAAGTTTTATAATCAAATATATTCCAAATGTATATGTCAAGCAATTGTATAAATTATGAATTCAACAGACATTACATAAGTAGAGAAACTGAGAATGCAATTTAAAAATTAATTGATAAATGGTCAACTGCAACAGAACATTTCTTCAATTTTTGTTATTTTCAACAGTTGAACCTAACGTATTCTCTACCTTGGTTATAGTTATTGATTTTACTTACCCAAATCGTTTCTTTAAACACTTCATCATTTTTAGTCTTGATGTAAAACAAAATGGATACTTATAGTAAGGTGGGATTTTCCATTTGATTAAAGGGAGACTATCAATGACTTCTAAAGGTTATTCGATTTCATTTAAATTTAAACTATGTAAAATGTATATTTTACAATAAGCAAACTCGCTATGTACATCGCAGGCGAATTGATCACTACGTGCCATGCATTTACATATCACATGCCAATGTATAATTTGTATAAAAATAAGGAGATGTGGTATGATTGCCAATAAGACAACTATCCACTCAAGTTCAAATTAAGTACAGATCTGTGTCTGTTTGAAATAATTTGCATTAAATGTCTTAATTAT